ATATCAAAAGGAAAATATATATTAGATGTGGCGTTAGTTTCTTTCAAAACACATCTTCAAGTCTATTAAATCACATAAAAGTGGAGTACTGGGAAGTGATTTAACCTGTGAATGTTGACCAGAGTGTATTACCTCAGACCGAAAATGGAGTGCTACAAGGCGTCCATGTCGATGCATTTCTTCTTTCGTGTGTTCTTCGTACATTTTCAGTAATTCGTACAGCGATTCCATGATCATTTATCATGACGTCATGTGTAATGGAATGATTACTCCAGATAAGAACTGATAATCGTAGTATCTTTCCCTTTGTCACGCAGTTTTGGTAATTCCACCCTTATTCCTCAGCGTACCACAGGGAGAAATTCTCGTGAGTAGTGTATTGGAAAGTTATGTATTCTTTTCAAGTGACTATTTTCAAGGCTAGAAACTTTCGCTTCTATGACAGTTTGACAATAATGGAATTTCACCATTCTCATTGGCAGTTTTTGGTTCTTATGGGTTTACTTAAAAAGTAGCAAATATATCTACTGTCTGCTGAAATAGTGCAGTTAACGTGGAGAAAGTGTGTGTAGTTTATAAACTTGGAAAAGTGCGCGATGAAGGCGCTTTGTTGTTTCCACACTTCAAAACATGATAAAATGTTATGTACCATTTTTAATTTTCTATTTACATTTATTTCTCGATTGATTCAGTCAAACCTTTGAGTTGTTTTCTAGTTTTCCGTATGTTTACCTGGGACAGTTACTGTTAGGTTAGATCCCTCAGAAGGCAAGTTATCTTCAATATTAAAAAATAAATTTTTACTGTTTCCACATGCATTAATTTTACACAAATTAACAGTTCCCGTTTCTTTTTGATTCTATTGCATCAATGTATGTGATATGAACCTATTTGTTCATGTAACTTGTCATTGTCTATTTTTTGGTAGGTTATGTTATTGTCGAACAACACTCAATACTGTCTTCAAATTGGGTGTTCATCTGCTGGGGTTTTATTTCTCCTCTATTTTATAAGCACTGATTTTCATTCCTGATATCCTTTGTTTTTATTGTTTCTTAAAGCTCCTACACATTCATTTGAAAATGTTTACACACCTAGGATCTTTATTTACAAATTGATTCTGTGTTTATTTCACGAGAGTAGAACTACTTAATAGAAGTATTATCTTAGAAATTGTATTTTATTCTTACAGGTGCTGTACTTGCGCCCCATGTGATCTCTAAATCTCCAATAATGTCAGAACAGGGAAACCCTGGGTTTCATCCTCTTAGCATAACAAGTAAGTTACTTTTCTTGTGCTCTGTACCTTTTTTGAAAAATGTTTGCATTTTCTCATTTGAATTTTTTAATGTTACCAGTTGAATGTGCACATTTGAAGAGCCCGTCTAGTTTCTTGAAACCAAATCCCTATGTGGAATTGGTTATTGATGACAAAGCACCTAGAAAGACTGAGGTAGTTAAGTGTACTATTCAACCCAAATGGAACGAAGAATTTACTGTGTAAGTTTTTTTCTAAATTGATTAGAAATTTCATGAGGTGAAATCTTATGCCAGTTGTACATTTACTTTGAATTAAATATTTTATTTTCTTAGGTTGGTTACACCTCATTCTTTACTGCATTACCGGGTGTTGGACCATTGCTCGTTCCGGAAAGATTCTGTTTTGGGTGAAAAGCGATTGTGTTTGTATGACATATTGCATATGTGCAATGGAAGATGTGAATATTTAGAGATCACATTAGACCTCTATCGCGGCAGCCCAGCAGATAGTCAAAATGTTGCTGCTGTTAAAGTTGGCGAGCTAATAACACTCATGCATGGTCTTAGAATTGACATGAGCTTTGCAAATGCTCCATCAACAATACCCTCTTCAATACCATCATCCAGTAGGCTACCTGATCCCAGAAGTTCTGGTAAGATTACCTATATATCATTTCTCTGCACGCTTCTGGTTTTTCCATCATACTTGTATTAAATGCTTTAATTTCTTTCCAGGCACTGTAGGATCTACAAATGGAGAGGCAGGAGGTATCAGAGGTGGCTTGAATGGTGTGAGATTTCGAGTGAGGCCTCATGGAAATGGAAACAATGTACCTAATGGCACTGTCCAGCCTCAAATTCGACAAGCTGCTGGTTCTTCAGGCCATTCCCATCAAATGTTGCATGCAGGTATGCTGGATACATAGGGTCTCTAACATATTTTTGCTGTAGTCTAGGGCGATTTTCATTGCAGCCTGGCTCTCACTTGAATAAAACCCTTTCAATCATTAATGTGCCATAAATTTGGCAAAAATAATCATAATATTAATAAGATTGGTAATTTTCATGGCTAGAGTGCTATTCTCTACTTAGATAGTTGTCATATTTTTTTTTTATCACTTTACCATATGTGCATGTACTTCTGAGAAAATTGTCTTCTTCATGTGATAGCATTAACTTTGGAACCATGTCAGCATCAAAACAGACATCCTGACGGATTTGATAGATTGCCATATTCTATCATCCCACCGGAGACAACTAGACCATCAATAGGTAGAGTTACTCTATCTAAGGGACTACTCAGTTGCACCTTCACAAAACTAGATGCCTGCCACAATTCCATTGAACTCCCTCCACTAATCATATCTTAAACTTATGTTTTTATCATGCCTTGATAACATTTAGAAAGATATTTTAGAGTTATTTTTTTTTAAGGAATCACCTAGCTACTTTATTTGAATTCTATCATGAAGGTTGTTCCCATGCACATCATTTCCCCATCAAACTTAGTTGCCCAATATCTAATTACTGTCCCCTAAATTAAAATTTTCAGATCTCTCAACATTAGCAGCTCGAGCTGCTGCTGCTGTCGCTGCGGCTTCTCAGATGTCACAAGATCAAGCACAGGCACTCCCTCCCAGTCATCACCACACCAATGGAGTTCAGCCAGCCTCTGAGCCACCTGCGGAAGGGGAATCTAGTGCTAGTCCAAGCACCAGTGCTGCTGCAATTACCAATGGCGTTGTCAGTACTGGAGCAGCTCCACCCAGTGTTGAAATGGAACCACGAGTAGCAGCTTCCAATGCCACTGTTGTTGAAGAACCACTTCCAGCGGGGTACATGTTAACTTATTGGTTCAATTAAGACTTCTGAAGTGCCCTATGTGTTGTCTTCACCCTTAACTTTTAAAATTTTATCCACAGTTGGGAAATGCGTTATGACGTCTATGGACGGAGATACTATGTGGACCACAACACTCGAAGTACTTCATGGGAGAGACCCCAACCACTTCCTGCTGGCTGGGAAATACGACGTGACCAGAGAGGTCGTATCTATTATGTGGATCACAATACAAGGACAACTACCTGGCAAAGGCCTTCGACTGAACGTTTGCAACATTATCAACACTGGCAGGGTGAAAGAGCTCATGTAATGACTCAAGGAAATCAACGCTTCCTTTACCCTCAAGTACGTCTAACACATTGTTTTCCTTAACTGAGTTCTTATTTTACTTTGGAAAGATCTGTACTTGATTTTATCAATCTTTATTTCTTTCTATTATTTTTCATAGCACCCAACTACTCCACATCCGGACCTCTCTTCTATTGCTGAGGAAGAAGATGCCTTGGGACCACTGCCTGAGGGCTGGGAAAAAAGACTTGGTCCTGAAGGAAGACCATATTTCTGTAATCATAAGAACAGAGTTACTCAGTGGGAAGATCCACGCACTCAAGGGTTCGTAACTTAATGTCTAACTATTTTCTCCTTTCTTCATTCGTTTTGCATTGGAGTGTGCCATGTATTATAAAATATCGATATCCCTGTTTAGAGAGGAACTTGGAGCTGATGAACTACCCCTTCCTCCTGGATGGGAAATCAGACTTACTGAAGATCATGTACGATATTTTGTGGACCACAACAAAAAGACTACAACATTCCAAGACCCTAGACCAGGTGCACCAAAGGGGTAAGTTCCTACATGACCAAATTTAAATTGACCCAAAATCGTGGTCAGTCTATCTTTAATGTTTGATTTTTTTGCAGGATGCCGGTTGGGGCATATGGAGTTCCTAGGGCTTATGAACGCTCATTTAGATGGAAAATTAGTCAATTCCGGTATCTCTGTCAAAACAATGCAATTCCTAGCCACATTAAAATATCAGTATCACGACAAACATTATTTGATGAATCATACCAACAAATCATGCGGTTCCCTGCTTATGAACTAAGGAAAAGATTGTACATTATATTCAGGGGAGAAGAAGGCCTCGACTATGGTGGAGTTTCAAGGTAAAACTTGCACTCTCATTAAAAAATTACTTTTATCCATGATTGTTTTTCTAATGTTAAACATTTTTTCCCTTGTGTGTAGAGAGTGGTTCTTCATGCTCTCTCATGAAGTTTTAAATCCTATGTACTGTTTGTTTGAATATGCCAACAAAAGTAATTATTCATTGCAAATCAATCCTGCATCTTATGTAAATCCTGACCATCTTCTTTATTTTAAATTCATTGGAAGATTCATTGCTATGGTTAGTACAAAAAAATTGTCTTGATTCCTCAAAACAGATTACATACTTCAGTTCTGACCTTGACATGTTTCCTTGCAGGCTTTGTACCATGGTCGTTTCATATACTCTGGGTTCACTATGCCTTTCTATAAGCGCATGTTAAATAAACAACTGACCATGAAGGATATTGAATCTATTGACCCAGAGTTCTATAATTCCTTGGTTTGGATAAGAGACAATAACATTGATGAATGTGGGCTGGAATTATATTTCAGTGTTGATTTTGAAGTTTTGGGACAAGTAATGCATCATGAACTGAAAGAGAATGGGGACAAGGTTCGAGTGTGTGAAGAGAACAAAGAGGAATATGTGAAGTACGTCTGTTCAACTACCCAAACAATATTTATTTTAAATCAACTCTTAACAGTCCCTGTAACAAATTGTATGTTTTCATTGTAGGTTGATGACTGAATGGAGGATGACTCGTGGAATAGAGGATCAGACCAATTATTTCCTTCAGGGTTTTGATGAAGTAGTGCCCCTGGTTTGGCTGAAGTATTTTGATGAAAGAGAACTGGAATTAATGTTGTGTGGCATGCAAGAAGTTGATGTAGATGACTGGCAAAGAAATACTATATACAGACATTACACCAGATCATCAAAGCAAGTTGTGTGGTTTTGGCAGGTAAAATAGTTTTTAGATTTCACTGTAAATTATAACTATAATCTTACTATTCCCTACTGAAAAATGTTAGAAACTTAAACCTACTTACTTATTATTATTTGCAGTTTGTGCGTCAGACTGACAATGAAAAGCGAGCTCGTCTTCTTCAATTTGTGACAGGGACATGTAGAGTACCTGTCGGAGGCTTCGCAGAGTTAATGGGTACGTATTTTTCCTTTATTCTCATACTGTATTTTGGATAATTTTTCTGTTCATTGTACTTAGCTGATTTATTTTACCTTTCTTATTTATAGGGAGCAATGGACCTCAAAGGTTTTGTATCGAAAAGGTGGGCAAGGACACGTGGCTACCTCGCTCTCATACTTGCTTCAACCGATTAGACTTGCCTCCTTACAAAAGTTACGAACAGCTGGTTGAAAAGCTCATTTATGCTATTGAAGAAACTGAAGGATTTGGCCAAGAATAAAATATTTATGAAATTTACACCGCTTTTCCTGGCTGGTGCAAGTGATGATGATGATTTGAAACCATTGCTTACTTTCCTATGAAGGCTTGCTCTCAAATTTTTGATCTTCTAAACTCAAGAACAGTGTTTGTTTTTTTGGCAGAAGTAGCTTTTACTTCTTTTGCCATGGAAGTGTTCGAATATCATTTGTTATAAAGAAAGTATTTTGTTGTTTAATTAATACTTGATGAATTATTTTATATATGAGGTTATGGCTTTTGTAAGTTTCCATAATTAAGAGGTGATTAGTATTTAAAATGTTGAACTGCTTACTGGATTATTATTTTAAATTCTTGAAGAATTGATGCCTTTTTAAGGTGAATGATAATTGTCTTTTCAAGATGTTAATGGAAAAGTAATTGGGACATGGTTGTATGGAGTGGGATGAAGGAACATAGATGTGATAATGTTTTATTCTCATGCATTTGAGTGCTTAAACTATATGGAGAAAAATTCCACTTAGTCTCCAAACATACAGACCTGAATCCAGTGGCTTATAGTTCCTTTTTCTGCTTGAGAAAAGCTGGACTTTTTCATATTTTCCTCTTTGCTATTATGTATTAGAGATGAAGTGTATTTGGTACTAGTGAAGGGTTTCCTTAAAGTACACTGAATCTGCACTCATTCAATTCTATCCTGGGGTAAAATTGGATTTAAATTTATGTCCTTTTTTTCATGATGCCTTGTTTTTGGTTTCTTTGGCACATTCTTCAGCTTTCTACCTATCATTGTATGTAATTGTGCAGATCATGCATTTTTTTAGGGTACTTTCCTTTATTTTGGTGCCTGTTACAGTACGGAGTGGGACAGTGTTGGCCAAAAGTTTTATACTCTTCTTGGATTGGCCAGCATTGTCTATCCAAGCGAATCAGAGGTATGACGATACTGTGCTAACTTAGTATTAATTGCATACTGATAGTATGAAATGCACATTGTCTTTTAAGATCTAGAGGTGAACATTATGTGATGCAGTGGGTCACATTCTTTTCAGCTGAAGAGGGACAAAACGTTTGTGATGACTGATATATGTAGATAGAATATTATTACTTATGATGAAGTGAGAGCCATATGCTGTGATAGTACTGCCGGCTCTGGGCGTGACATTTGTGGCATGTCATACATGTGGGGTTGTTCTTTCATGTTTTACCAATATCATTTTTTTAGAGCAGTTGTTAAGGTACACGGTACCAATGAGAGAATGGTTTGTAAATCATAGTTTCTTTATTTTAAAGTTTTCCTTTTTAATTTAAAAATTTATAGTTTGCACCAGGCCATAGAATTGCCTTGTTTTCCCTAATCTACTTTACCTCATCTCAAAAGGTGCCACAAATTTTGGATGTGTTTCAGATGGCTTGTGGATCTGCGAATATAGGTATTTGCTTTTTCCGAATTTGCACACGAAATTTCCATGGGGAACATGTATTAGGTGATTTAACTAATAGGTGATTTATGGGGCTGATGTTTCCATCCGTTTTAGATAATCATAATCATGTACTAATAATTTCAGCCAACACTCATTTGCAATACATGTTTAAAAATATAAAAACTATATAATGTATTTAGTAAATGTTGTAGTGTATCTTTTTGTTACATAATTTTGGCAGGTTACTCTTTAGATCAGTCACTGCCAGATCCAAAAGAGGACAAAAGATCCTTCAAGGTAGTTTGAAAAGTACTTTTCATCAAAGCTTGGACTTTCAGTCACATGGCAATAAGTATCACTATATCCTTTAGCTGCTCCTTGTTTTATAGAATTATAGAAACATCTGAGTGTGGAGCAATGTAAAGTTTCACTTACTGTGTGTTCAAGTTTTGTGTGGTTTGTGATACATACTTTATGAAACTGCTTGAAGCTACAGCATCAATGCTTTGAATATGTTCACTAGTGTCTAGCACCCATAGAGCATACAACAGGTACTTTAGGGTACCTTTAAGGTTTTTGAGTGAACAATTTTAAGGCTGTCACTCATTTGAAGTCATAAATAATTGTGTTTGTGAAAGAGTTTTGTAAGTGTTTTGTAGCAAATTGTGTTGTGAGGTTTTCTCAAGCTCTAAAACAAATGTGATTCAACTATATAGAGTCTGGTCGACTTCGAGATGGTAACACATATGTGAATTTATGTGATTGTTATGTTTAGTGTGTATGTATGTATACATATGTATATTACTAGATTAGCTGTACAGAATTATCAGGAGACACATACAAATGTTACATTTTGTTTGCCAGCCATTAAGTGGCAATGTAGGTAGCGCTGATGTGAAGATGGTTAACCAGTTAAGATCAATATGTTTGTGATTGATGGCAATCTTTTTATGATGTAAGTGATACATAGGATTATGGGTCATTCTAGGATCCAGTGACTTTCTGTCTTATAAAATTCACACTCTCAGTACAGAATTATCCTAGAATGTTAAGTACTACCTAGAAGTTCCAAAGTTCAACCCGTCTTCAAACACATCAGTGAAATTTTGATGTAATTACAACGAATTGCCCAAAGATACTGTATATAGTTCCATTACCCCTTTCCCAAGTTATGAGAGAAACTCTTTGTAAATAGTCTTTTTTTTCCTGACAGTCATCAGACCATTGTAGCAAGGCCTTTTTAAAAATGAAGTCAAGTCTTTATTGTATCATTTTCTTTGAATGCGCTTTTCCAGTTGTTATAATTTGCATTGTACAATATTTATATTTTTAACACTATATATATTATAAGTCGTGAGATTCAGTTTATAATTGTTGCTTTCATCTTTGTTGCTTTCATGACACAGTTTTAAATATTTTTGAATCACTGTTTTGTTTTACTGCATAGCATACTTGTAAGTCAAGTGGAGGCATTCAGTATCGTGGGCATATTTATGTTTGGCTGTGGCTAAGTGGTAGGTAGTCATGACCCATTTCAAATGATTCGGTTACCCTGTAAGGACAATTATTTGCTATAGCTGCTGGAACTTTTGCCATTACATTTCTGATTGCCTACTTAGCATTGTTACTTTGGATAAGTCAGTTTCAGTGTTATGCCCTCTATTTGTCTTTTTTTGTTGTTCTTTTTTTTTTTTTACAAAATGACTAGTATGAAAGGTTTCTAGTTGAAATACTGTACAAAATTTGGAAAGTTTTACTGTTTTGATACATTCAGCTCAAAAAGACTATTATTCCATCATTGTAATGTTTAATTTACAAAATATTCATCCGATATCTAGTCTCTTATCACTTTCACTAATCAGCAAAACATTTAATCTAGATAAGTGAAATCTTTGTGGGCCGCAACATACTTCTAAATGCAACAAGGATTTTTTTGTTGCAATGAACTTTGTTTTACATGTCTCCTCTATTATAAATCATAGCAGTGCAGTATTTTTTTTTCATTTTTGTTTTTAAACGAGTGTCAAAACTCTTGCTCATTACTTGATACTTTCAAGATCAAAATTTGTGAATTGTATGAAAAGGGGCCACAGGCATGTATCAGAATGTTATGTAACTCATGTAGTTATAATCAGACTATGTAATATGCATAAGGTAAGGATAAATGTATCAGTTGTAAAAAAATAAAGTCAAAAGAAAAGCTCTGCTTATTTAGTCCTTGTCCAGCAAGATTTCAAAAATACTGGGGTACATCAAGAATTTGATTATGGCTCAGAACTTTTCACAAGCAACAGAAGAAAAATGTTCATTTGATTTTGATCCATAATGGCATTTAAGTCCTCTCATCCCTCAGACTTTTCTTTATACTTGATTACTCCTTTTTCTATCAAGTCAGGAATTTCAACAGCCAACCATGGTCCAAGCTAAAAGAAAAAAGAGTTAACATTTCAATAATTTCTCACTTTTAGAAATGTTATTTTACTGCAAAGTGGTAAATACTTACTCCAAGGGCCATTGCATGAGCTATTCCGAACTTTGGAGCATTCCGTGCCCACAAGGGCTTGAAGTGATCTGTTAGACATATTTTGCCTCCACGGTACATTTTAGCAGTTTTGCCGTCTAACTCTGGTAAAGCTATTTCAGGTGCTGTAGCAGGATATGTGACTGGTATCTGAAAAAGCAAAGTATTACAGTAGGATTTTAAGACTACATCAGTCCACAAACTGATTGACATATAAGAATTGTTTTTATGTTTATTCTTCAACTTCAACTTAGTGTAACTTACATCGAATTCAACATCAAATTCATATTTGAGGAGGTTGTGAATGTACCAGCACTTTCCGAACCATCTCGTTCCCTGTTCATTTGATTCCAGCCTGAACCAGTCATTGTCTGCACTCTTATTGTTCTGCACATACTGAAGGAACAAAAAGAGCTATTAGTACATAGGTTTTTTTTTTTTAAAAAAAAAACAGGATGTAAAATGTAAACGTTATCATAAGTTAAATTGTTGTACATCGAAGATAATGAACAACTAGCATATGGAATGCGCAAAGAGGTTAATAAGGGAAAGGGAGTAGAGCGATTTGATTAAGAAATTTTTTTAAAAAGTAAGAAGAATGAAAGTTCTTGAAAAGCCTCAGAGGAATATTGAAAATAAGAAACCTACCTGAATTAGGGCTTGGTACTCTTCCTTCAACCTCTGGACCCATAGTTCTTTCTCCCGAGGGCCTGCCTTGGTCTTTAATAATGGAATGCAGCTCAGTGTCTTCCTTGTCGATTCGTCAACCATGGTGCACTAGAAAAAGCGCGCGTTTCTAGAGGGAAGGGGCCGTAGGAAATAATCAACTAGCAGTCAAAGTTGTTGGCACGCGTCTGCAACATCATCAGTGTGTCGCGAGATGTTGATCAACACAACAGCAGACGACTCGACACGTCGGGCGCGGCGCGGCGTGGTGCATCATGGGCTCCAGTCGTGGACCAATCAGAGAGCGCCAGCTTGTACCACGTGACGGCCTCGTCCTCTTACCCGCTTGGCGGCGGGAGTTTCGAACCAAACGGGAATCGAATCGTGAACGGACGCGAAACGAAACGTAATGAACCGAACCAAATAGAGAATTATTGAGCCGCTTTGTGTGACGATCAAATAACAGTTTTGATAGCACCAAAAGCTTGCAAAAGCTGGAAAAAACCTGTTTGCCACAAGAAACAAAAGTTTGTGTAGCAGCTTTGCAAGATTTTTATCTGTCTTACTACGAATCAGAATCGGAGCGACGCCTTGAAGTCCGATTGGGAAAAGTGTCCTTGTATTTTTCGCGTAAGGAGTGGGCCAAGAGCTCCCACCCCCA